AATTTAGTGAAAAGTGTATAAACACTTTGTCTGAACAACAACGCGCTGAATCAAAACGTAAGTATTTAAAAATGACCAAGCGTAGTGCCCAAGTTCAACTTAACCCCAACTAATTATGTTTCCTATGCACTTTTTTGTTTTTTTTAGCCTTTGGTCCTTTCGAAATTCTTCAATTATTCTATATATTACTGTAGGCTTTTCTTTCTTCAGTATATTATTGTAGGCTTTTCCTTAGGTCCCCGCCGCCGACATTAATTAATACAAAAGAATAAACCACAGGGTCATACAAGCCATGTGGACTTGTATAATTCCATGCAAATGCTTTTGTCTAAGAACGAAGAGGTGTTGAAGGGGTCTAATTAAAGCGAGCAGTGTCAGTTCGTTCGAATTCATTAGTGCCTTCGCTTTGCAGGCGCCCGTGCTTATTTGCATGAAGTCAACATGTTTCGCTTTTTTGGTTTTCGTATTTTTTTTCTCGGCTAGTTCATTGGAAATGGATAGATGGAATTTTAAGTTCCAGCCGCTACAACGTGCCTGACCTAAAAGTAAATTTGCTGTAGCAGTTTCAGTTCAAAACAAGCCAAAAGCCATCGCGAAATTGTCCGTTCAAAATACTAAATTGCTGATAGAGAAGGTAGAATCAAAGGCAAAGGTTTTCCAAGTTTTGCGGGTGTGAAGTGAAAGTGTGGTGGGCGCACGGATCTCCCGACTTTGATCGCGTTGGCTTTGCTCATAGTCAGGGTTTTCAGTGCAAACTATTTTAGGAGCAAATATGGAAGAGAGGCAAGAGCACATGCCGTTGAGTTCTTCCTGGAATGATGTAAAAATTAGCGTTCTTGCTCATTTTGCTTCCAAGAAACGAGCAAAAGCGGGATGGAAACATGAAATTTTGGCATAATATTGCACCTAAATGGCTGATATTCAAATTTCGCTTTCTGGGTTAAAACTACTCGAATTTTCTGCTGTCATGTTGTTATGACTGAATCGCATTTTCAAATCTCTATCCAACGATACCAAAACGAATTCTGTAGCTCAAATGGGGCTTGAGAAACTTCGCAAAAACTAGCGTCATGTTGAGTCGAAGACTTTTTGAGAAAACTGCAAACATTCCCTTACCGATGGTTCACTTTCTAAAAAGGCCATTTAGTTCTCTCTGGAGCGATGCAAAAATAAGCGTTCTTGCTCCTTTTGCTTCCAAGAAATGAGCAAAAACGGGAGGAAAACATGAAATTTTGGCATAATCTTGCATCTAAAGGTTGATATTCAAATTTCGCTTTCTGGGTCAAAACGACTCGAATTTGTTGTCACAAAAAGTTGTAGTCTTCCCGTTGTTGACACAGTCGACAGTTTGATTTTGTATTTACTATTTCTCCTTGAGACTGGTGAATTTTCGGGCCTTTCCACGAGGAGCTAAAAACCCAAAACAATAACCAGTTAAATGCTTGAGAAGTTGTTTTCACAAGTTGTGCAGTTTTCCCACATTTGTTTGGCTTTCGCTGCCAACATACAAAGTGGATGGAAGCAACTCGTGCTTGTGAAGCGCCAGGAAGAAATTATTTTCCACTCTCTTTGGGCATAAGCTCAAAAATGGTCACTATTCAAATTTCTTAGAATTTGGGTTTACTTACTGGGAGACGTGATTCTGACTTCTATTGTGTTGCATTGAGGATCGCTCTCTGAAATCTGGCCGGAGATTCATTCGTCACATATACCTGGTCAACGTGGTCGTTCAAATTCGTCTATCTATTTAATTTCTTCAATGGACTATTATTGTTCGACGTTTCGGAGTCATCTAATCTAATGGAGCTTTTATTAAGGAATTCGAGTGGAACCCAAATGTTCGTTTTGATTTAGAGATAACTTCCATAAAAATGTAAAAATCCGTTCGGTGCCAAGCCCATGGCACGTTAAAAAGGCCCGAACGCTTAAAATTAATTGCTTAATCAGAATAAGAAAGAGGCACATAAATTCAGCCTCTCGCATACACACATACTCACAAGTATAAATTACTAAAAATTAAGCTATACGCCGTTGCTACGAGACACGTTTCTCTCGAGAACCCTGCCTATTCAAGTCCGAGAAATTAACATGCAGAGCCTTAACAAAACGATCTTTAAAAAAGACACCCGGGACATAGGCGGAGAATGTCGGACATTGAAAATATTGCCTTTCTTGTGTGACTTTGGTTGAGCAACTAGATCATGAATTTCTCTGTGTCATTTTGTGAATATTCGACAAAATTTAGAGCGGTTGCCGTTTAGTTCGATGGCATTTTGATGCTCGAACAAAGTGCTTTTTGGGGGCCACATAAAGCGCGATTTTATTAAGGCTTCGGCTCCGGTCAAGAAAACAAACTGTTCGCGGATAAAGTTTCTCGGTCGGGTTAAAAAAGCAATTTAAATTTCGCCGGGGGCTTTTGCATCGAACCGGCCCCACGTTGCCCCATCTTAATGACTTCATTAGGCTAATCGCCAATCCTTTGCAAATTATGACGAAATGTCCTGCCTTTGTTCGATATACCGGGTGAACTGAGCAACTAACCAAGCAATAAATGTGCGATTTTTTTAGCAAGCTGCAGCATTTTACTGAAAGTGCTCTTTGTTGCTCTAGCTTTTTTCCGATAAACATCATTTTTATTCCATTTTGGAAATGTTTCAAACTATTTTTTTATTCTTGTTGAAACAATCTTTGAAGCACCGACTTTGGGTTCAAATGCCCATTTTCAAATCTTCGGCTCATTTGCCAAAATAATCGAAATAGGCATGAAAACCTTAACTTCTTCAACTTGCTATCCATGTTATTGTTCTTTCATAAAACATTTTGCTGAGTTCTTTGCAACAGTGTCCTTGAAAAAATTTTTCGGCGTTAAATCCTGTGCTTATTTTGATTGTCCACCTCCACTGTGAGATTCAATGGTTGTTACTATTAAACAAAAAAAAACAGGACAAGGCAAATGAGGCGCGGCTGCAGTATCTGTGAGTAGTGTCCACTTAATCTGAAAGTGAATCAGGAACGGTTTTATGGGGACAAAAAGGCAACGTTTAAAATTTAAGAGGCCATTCGCGATCGAGAGTACCATGTTGGAACCATCATGAATATGTAAAATCTGCCGATGGTCGATTAGGAAACATGACCGCTGACTTTTTGCGCTGCAACAATTTCGTTCTGACCCTGCACAAGTTTGATCGGAAAAGCCCAATCGTGTTTGGAAAGTTCATTTGCGCGAATAATTACTCAAATTACTCAAATACGACTCGTCCTTCTAATGACCAAGGAGTAGCTGACAACACGTACATTATTGACGCGAAGAAATGAAGAACTCGAAACTTTAGTGTTGAGAGGATCGCTACTGATTCGAAATCTACACATACCGATGTTAGTGGAAAAGTGATTAATCAAACGCTTTTGAAAGCTCTGGACTCTAGATATAAAGCGGTATTAGACAAATATCAACAACAACTATATTTTTTTGTATAAAATTGTAAAACACCCGGTATAGTCAAAAGTAAGTTAAATTTGTGTTATTTTTGATCGCGCCGTTGCACCAAAACGTTGATTTTGGGACCCACATTTTTAAAGTTGGAAAAAATTAGGATTTTCTGCGATTTTTTTGAAATTGCTACCATCCACAGGACCAACCTTTCAGGACAAACCTTTCAGGATAGTGAAAGACTGCTCACTACATTTGTTAGAAAGATATACGTTTTCGAATGGCCCTTATTCAATAAAGTACATTTTGAGATGTCTTCTAATGTGGTAAAAAGGGATTTTCGCTGATTTTGATAAAACTTTCCAAATCTATAGGGTCAAGTGTTTGTGACCGACGGAGAAAACTTCAAGTTTCTATTAGCCTCAATTTGCAATATATGAATTTTTAAAGAAAGGGTGCAGTTGGGAAAACTCAATTCAGACTAGTATTTACCAAGCTGGAAAAAATCTGGTCGATCGATGATTTTTATGAAGCTTTCTGCATCGAGAGAGTCAAATATTGTAATAAAGGTTCTGAAAATTTGAAATTGTTCCTAATTTTGGAAAATACGAATTTTTGAAAGAGAGGGCGCAGTTGGGTGAAAACCGCCAATTTGGGGCTCGCATTAACCAACCTGGAAAAATTCAAGATTGGCGGTGATTTTCATAAAACTTTAGGAGTTAGACTGCAAAAAATAAAGTTTCTACAGAGTGGCAAATGAAACAATGCAAAATTAGCGAAAGTTCCACATGCTCTGATTCGGACAAAGACTTTTATATTTCAACACCACAGACATTAAAATAGACATTTTTTCACTTGCAGCGATTTTCAAAATGTAGGGCTCATGGTGAAGTTGAAGGTGTTGTACGACTTGCTAAGGAAAATCAATATACAGGGTTGCATGAATGAACGAAAAATTTGGAATTGGAATAAACTTCACTTTATATAAAAATCTGCCATCAGCACAGATTTCGAATGAAATTTTGATTGGGGTAATTTTTATGCAACCTTGTGTGTCGCATTTGGAATTGTCTTTGAAGCTTAATCTTTAACATCAGCTCAAGACGGTGAAAATCGCTCTAAGATCAGAAAAGTTATCGCTGCAAAACCAGTTTGTTTGCAGACCAAGAAAGTTGATTTTTTCGGCTGCAGTTTTTAAAGAAGAACTGTGATTAATTTTCAGTTTTAATTTATGCTACTTCCGGGTAAATCCCGATAAAATTAAGTTTCGATCGCGAAATCTCTCTAATTAGGTTCGCAGGACATTCATAGCGCCCACGAGACCAGTCAGCTCTATTTCAGCTTTGCACATTTGCATTGGATATCGACTCAATCGTGAGAATGACCAGTTGGATGCATAATGCAAGCGAATGTCTTGCATAGTTTAGGAGTTTCATTAAATATTTTCCACTTGAGAATTTGATTACTTAGTTGCTGGTCTTCGGTTTGTCGCCCTCCAGGAGTCACTTGATTGCATCTAGATTGGTTGAACCGCACCACTTTACTAAAGTATTTTTTTTGTGTATTTCAGTGTTGCAGCCAGTACAGCCAGTATTTTGTTATCGAGAGAACTGCATCCAGCTTATCGACTGCCAACTCATATGGATTATATGTACTCACTTCAACATTCCACCGCCAACTCAATTCATGGTAAGTGACTCTTCAATGTCCAGGTGTGGGGTCATGAATCAACGATGTCGCAGGTTGACTGCCGGCATTTTGCAACCAGCCTTATTTGTCAAAATCGAAAATAATCTGCGGATAACGAGGAAACGGGCACAATACAAATGAGCAGTAATATCTTTCGTCGGTCGACAGAAAACAAACATCGACGGTTCATAAATAAAGAGCAGCGCCGCCGTCGAGGCAAAATAAACATTTCCAATGCAAAAATAAATCATTAAGACTCGAGTAAATATACTGATGAAGAGCACGCAACTCTCTTAAATTGGCTTCGATTTACTTTATTACAAACTTGCAAATTCGATTAGAATTTTTGAGGCATTGCACGATATCCGAAGTCGTTGGAACTGGAAGAATTACTACTGGGGAGCCTTGAAGTGGATTTGCTTCAAAGGGGCACCTCTTGAGACTCTAACTGGGTGTTGAATGATCATTTACATGCGGGTCCTTGTTTTGCTCCCCGGGTATTGTGCCAGCCAGCACAATGGGTGTGCATTTCCGCTCGAAGCTTGATTGTGTTGAGGCATTAAGAGCTGCACCTTAATCGGAAGTGAAAATCAAAAAACGATCTTAGCGCTAGAAAGCTGCAATCAAATAAAATGGTTTTTGTATGGGGAAGTGACGATATTAAACAGCCTGCCAGAATGGTGCCAGATGTGTGTCCAGAGTTTCTTCTTCTGGATTATTTTAACTTTTAACTTGTTAAGCAGATTTCAAACTTTAGCATCTAGCGAAAAATTCACTCTTAAAGTTCCCAATGTTCATATTAAAGGTGTTTGATCCAGACTGATCTAAAACCGCCCTAAATTGGTCAAAAATGTCAATTATTTCGAGCTTGAAGCTTCTAGCGTGTTTTTCAATGATATACTTCTGATTCGTTTGGTAAAATGATTTAGAATTTGAGAAATGTTAAAAGACTTTTTATTTTTTGAAAAAATCGGCCTCTACCCTTATGAAATTTTCCATCATAAATGAAAATTTTACATGCGTGGCTTTCGAGCACATCGGATTGCTTTTGACCTGAGAGTCGCTCTAAAACCATATTAAAGATATTTGAGTTTAAGGAAGATATAGTCGGCTAAAGATTGTGACTGATCAAAAACCGCATAAATTTTGCCAAAAATGTCAATTATTTTAAGGCTGAAGCTTCTAAGGTGTTTTTAATGTTCGCATTGCATTAACCGCTTCCTTCTGTAAAATTCAAGAAATTTTGAGAGATTTGAAATTGACTGAGATTTAAGTTTTAGTTTAGACTTGAGAAGCTTCCTAATGTTAATTTTAATGCATTTGAGTCTAATAAAGAATAGAAACAGTCGGTTAAAGATCTACGCCTATCAAAAAACGCTTAGAATTGGCCAAAAATGTAAATTATTTCGAATTAGAGGCTTCTAGCGAGTTTTTCAATTAGCACGTTGCATTGCTTGCTTTTTTCTGATGAAAACTATGTGGGATTCGAGAAACTATAAGAACTTGAGGTTTTTCGTAAAAATGGACCCGCTGAAAACATGGAAAAAAATAAAATTTCACTTGCTTGTATTTTGAGCTGAATTGATTGATTTCGATCTAGAAAGCGCCTTAAAAGCCATATTAAAAGTATATGAGTCTATAATAAGGCGGTATTGGCGCTTAAAGATCGTTTCCGATCAAAAACCGCTTAGAATTTAATTTGATTTTGAAAACGAAATTTCCCATTGTAAACCGTGCGACATTTTTTTGAACTACTTTCGACCTTTACTCGCTTACAATTTACCTTGTATGGATAATTTATCTTGAATCTCTTTCACGGTTACAGTCACGTGTTGAAAAGCGGAACTAACGGGATCTTCTCGGCACCATCGCTCCCACGATTCCGACAGTTCAATTCCGAAAAATCTATTATTTGGAAACTGAACGCGCAATTTTGAACTTGAATGAAACACTCCCGTTTTAGGGTGAAAACATGTGCTTAAAAGTTACAAAGATGTGATTAAGTATAGCAAAAACAATAAAGATTTTCTTTGAATAAAAACATGAAAAAGATTGAATCTTTGACGACTTTGAGACGTGATTAGGAAGTTGATATGTAAAGATATTTGATGATTGATTGATTTCAGTCCTATATTTTTAATCTTAACCACTGTTCATAAAATTATCGATCAATCGCATTTGTTATCGATTTCCAGACGGATTCAACTGGCACCACCCGACAAAAAGAACAATCGGCAGTAAAAATTCGAAATGTGTTCGGTTCGAAAAGCCAAATAGGCATGTAAAAAGCCAGAATGCCCTTCGAACCATACAACGAATTAAACACGTAAAACAAATAGATCTTCGAAACAAAACACCGTAAAACCCATACCATGCGCCTTAAACAAACCAATAAAATACAGGAAGGGCACCCAGATACACATATACCATTTACCAGGCGAGTTAAAAACGAAAAGTCGTCCGTGCTGTTTGAACAGGAGGCTATAAAAGCGGGCCTGTGGTTCGAGTCTTGGACGCATCTGGATCTAAATGCGGCTCCAGCTATTTTCGCTCTTGTTAACTATGTTTTTCTTCATAATTTCAGACGAATGTCGTCCGTAACCGCCACACGATTGACTTTCGTAATTTGTAGACCAGTCGAAGACATTATGGTTAATAAATTATGCTCGTACACGTTGATTTTGACGGGTTATAATATGCTTTAGTGACGGGTGTTCAAGTCTGGAACTTTTTCATATACTTAGGCTTAGGACTTTTCTGCTCGTTCTTGAATTCAGGTGTTTCCGGTATCTGCAAGATTGATCTAATGCAAAGTGTCCAGCTGGAAATTTTTACATTTATTAAGTTGTAACGGCTCGCAACATGTGCCCGATTAATCCGATGAATTATGCAAGTTTTTCCATATTACGTAAATAAATCCATAAATTCCATACTTTACGAGAATGGCTTTGCAGAGCAATCGGCCAGTTGCCCATATTAGCGCTGAAGTATTTTAGCGCTTAGTGCTAAAGTACTGTAACGACTTTTACGACTTTGCCATAAATGAGTTCAGGAAGCCATGAAAATCGATATGAAGTTTGAGTAAACTAGATGCATGTCTTTAGAGCTAATTTAAGATGGATATTAGGCCCAGATCTTAATTGGGGGACTTTTTCAGGTTTAGGTCTGACTGCTGACTATCTACATCCATCAGCGTCATTGGCCAGCACTGAATTTCCTTTCAGCATAGATGGTAAGTGTAATTTAGTATTTTTTTTTGCCGATAACAGTTTCAATGATCCTTCGTGTCTTTGCTCTAAGGACGCTGCTTCTTAATTAATTACTGCACCGAAAGAATTCTACTTTCAGTTACTTTTGCGGGCCAAAATCGGTTTCCTCAAAAGCAAATTTAAATTTGTACTATATTTTTGCAACATTTCCACTTTCTGCTTGATTGTTAGTTAGCGTGTCAACGTTAGCGCCTTTTGTATGCTCCTTGTCAAACTCCATTTTATAAAAAAATAAATGGTGTAGGAAATTGACTTGCAGTTGATTAAATAGAGAAAAGCTGCGTTATGAGTGAAGACAGCTCGAACTTGATCTGATAATGGACTGATTTTAGCAAATCTCACAGTGCAAATTCAGGATCCAAAGCCCTCAAATTTTTGATATTCGAAAATGAATTGGCTGCGGCTTCGCAATATTTCCACTTTCTTCTTGAATGTTAGCGTGTTCAGGCAGTCAGCCCTGTTTACTCACCAACTATAGCATCTCGAAAATATTATTTTCAGTTCAAGTTGAAGATCCACTTTTTTAGTGTCCGAACGACGACAATGTTGCTAAATTTCGGAAAATAGTTTACAAAACTTGTTTTCACTCTCTTTGATAGAGAAAATAGATTTATCTACCCTGAAAGTTTGAGCAATAATTACGTTAATGTAGAAGTAATTTAAATATGCTTTTGACTCGAAAGTAAAACTTTTAATTAAAGCACGAATTTTTGTGCCAAATAAAATGCTTTGGCTACTTCAATTGAGTTGATCAACATTGAAAACGAAACAATAGGGACTGTTTCAATATTAAAACACCTTCTTAAACAACTCGAACCGAGCTGAACAGTCATCGGCATGAATATTTTGAGGTCTAATCCATATAAGCACGCGTAAACACCTTTTAACATTTAAAGCAGCAACAAATCCTTTAATAAGCATGTTATAAATTTTAATTAAAAGGCTGGAATAATGGTTTTTCTTATTAATTCGAGACGCGTCAGTATTTTATTGCATCGTTAATTTTATCATTTTTGTCTTTAATAGAGGCTTAATTTATTCGTGGCGCGTCCATGCGGTATTTGGTGATACTGGTCAAAGTATGTATATCCGCCGTTTAATTTTTGGATCTGTATATTTGTTCGTTTGTGTGTGTGAGTGTGCAACGCCGATGCGACTTGATCGCATGAATATTAATTGATTTGTCTGTGTTTCAGTTTCAGGATCCCGCTTGTGTTCACCTCGTTTGGCTAGAGCTTCACGAAAAAGAGCTCTTTCATCATCTCCGTACTCAGATCTCGACCTCACTTCGGTGATCCGCTATTCGCCGTCATCCCTTGTATCTGTAGCAGCGGGCAGTAGAAGTTCTTCTGTATGCAGCGGTTCATTGGGGCATCTTTCTGCTGGTAGGGTTCATTTGTTTACTATTTGAACAAACACAGCGCTTTTCAGCTAGTTAGTCGAATCAAATGTCTCTTTTTTTATATTATGCATACGTTCTCTTTCAGCAAACTTTTTTCCAACAGGTGCTTTTAGCCCGGTTCTTCATCCAGCCCTTTTGTTGCGAGGTCCTGGAACCCCTCTTCCGCACTCTCATCCTCATAATCCCACTTATGGACTGCCCGGGACGCAGCATTTGCCTCATGCTCAGCATTCGGCTCCACTTCCCAAGACTGATGTAAGCCACATTTAATTTTTCAGAAAGCCGCAACTAAATGGGACTTTTTTAGATTTTAAGTGAACGAATAAAGACAGAACTGAGCCATCAGCAGAATGAGGGTGATAGTCGCAGAAACAGCAGGGTGAAAAAGGAGCCGTCTAATAACAATCCCTCGGAAGGCAGTGGAGAGCAGGTAGATCTCAAAGATGAGCCTGGAGACTTTATAGAAACACATTGTCATTGGAAAGACTGCGGTGTGGATTTCAGCACACCGGACGAACTAGTCAGGGTACAAAAACGCGTATTGAACTTTAAGGAGATTTTACTAATTTGCGTCTTTTAGCACATAAGTAGCGACCATATTCACTTAAATAAGAAGTCTTTTGTGTGCCGATGGAATGAATGCTCACGAGCCGAGAAGCCATTCAAAGCCCAATACATGCTGGTTGTTCACATGCGTCGGCATACAGGCGAAAAACCCCACAAATGCACGGTAAAATCCCCACTTTTTTTAAAGCTAAAGCACACTAACCGTTTGGAAATTTTAGTTCGAAGGATGCGTGAAGGCCTACTCACGACTGGAAAATCTCAAGACCCATCTCAGATCTCACACGGGAGAAAAACCATATACTTGTGAATATCCAGGTTGCGCCAAAGCGTTCAGCAATGCTTCGGATCGGGCCAAACATCAGAATCGCACACACAGCAGTGAGGTAAAGTGGTTATTCTTGTGGAGTTTGAGGAAAATGTTTTACATATTTCAACCGCCAACAGAAACCGTACGTGTGCAAAGCCCCCGGTTGCACCAAACGATACACGGATCCTTCTTCTCTCCGTAAACACGTGAAAACCGTTCACGGTGCGGACTTTTACGCCAGTAAAAAGCACAAAGGGAGCCATGAAGATGGTTCTGGTGGTACCAATGGACGGATGGATGGGTCTCCGCGCAGCGACGACGGTACCAAAACCGTAAGTCTGAGCAGTCCATCGGTTAAGAGTGAGTCCGATGTGCATTCACCGCAAGCCCAAGATAGTCCCATCGGGGGTCAGGATATGGACACTTTGGTAGGAATATTGCCAGCCAGGAAGTTTTCCGTGTCTTTGAACTGTTGTGTTATTTCAGCACTTTACCACACCGGGTACAGTCGATACTTTGGAAGATTGGACTGCTGAAGCTGAAGACTTGGATCTGGAAGAACTACCGGTGGTGTTGCGAGCTCTAGTGGGAGGAGGAGCTGCACCAGTACTGGCTGCACCTCCACGAATACGAAAGCCAGGTATTTAAGTGAAGATGTGGAATTTGACAATATAAGATCCAAAAGCTTCGTAAGAAAAAATGCCATTCAACGATGTTTCTATTGCAGTTGGCAGGCCGAGAAATTCGGTTCGGAACATCACAGACCTGAATACGCGCATCACCAACCTCAGGATGGAACCGGGTAACGCACAGCCGCCTCAAACTAAAACTCAGCTCACGGAACTTCAGCAGAGGCTGCAGCCGCCTCTTTCTCAGCAACAAGCCCAAATCAGAAGGGACAGCAACTCGACAGTTAGTACCTACTATGGCAGTATGCGAAGCGCTGACATGAGCAGGAAGAGCAGTGTTGCTTCACAGGTAGCTATTTCGATTGATAAAACTGTCCTTTCCAAAAATATGCAGGGTGATTTAAAATCGCCGGTGCTTAAGGAGTACAAACTAAGGAGAACGCAGTAACTCCGATTTTAAAGTTTAACACCTTTTATTAACCGCTGTTTTAATATTATCAATTGGTGTACTATGGAAATAATATCAAGTATGTTTCGTAATGCAATTGGAAAGAAAAATGCATCTCGTAATTATTATTTTTTTAATTAATCGAATTTTCTTTGTTACCTGTGTATGGCCAATATGTTGAATATTTCGCCTCAAAAATGTTTGTCTTTAAAAAGGACAGAATTTGCTCAAGTCTTTTATTACAGATTGATAAACAGTTCTCTTATTGCCTTTTTTACTGTACTACTTTTATACTGTTTATATATTTTTTAAAGGCAAAAGTTTTTGAAAAATGAATCCGCCTCAACAATATAGAACTTATCTCTATGACCAGTAATTTTCCGTTTTTAAGTTTTTCACTTGATTTAACTCCATGCTCGCAGCATAATCATAATATTAGAAACGATACTACGAAGAATTTGCGGCATTAGGTATGATAATGACTATTCGCGACTACGCCGCACAGTGGTCGTTTTAACTATTTTAGGTGGTAATAAATAGGGCCTCCGATATATACTATTTCTAGTTAGTATAATTTATTTAGTTTAAATATG